ATATATATATATATATATACACGCGATGTATAACAAGAACGCGGTACATTGTTCCCCCCTGTGAAAAGTGTTTAAGTGATACGTGCTTACAGGCTAACTTGGGTGTTTTCCTCGGTTCCTTCTCATTCTTTTCGGTATTCGTGGCTGACTCGTTCCGGCGTGGAAACGTGGCGTGTGGCGGCTCATCGTAGACATCGGCGAGCCGCACCCACGCGCGCTATTTATCCGCGTAGTGTGCCGAAGCCAAGTGCCAAGAGTGTATTTTTTCGCATACCGCTGCTACTCCTCGCAGTGGCATATATCTCTTTCTCTCCTCCTCGCCCGTTTTCATCTTCCTTCTATTCGCCTATTCGTCTATTTCTAACACCCGTGTGTAACTTTCCCTCCCCCTCTTCCTCCTCCTGCTCCTTCGTCATTTCCCTCTCCTGATTGGCCGGTCTTCGTCGCCTTTTTATTCGACGATTAGTCGATAAAAGTGTGATTTCTATTGGATGGAGAAAAATAAGAACGTTTCCGAAAATGTTCCGAGTTTGAAAAAGTTATAAGTTATATATTTACGAACGATGGATTATTTTAAATGCGTGCAAAAAAAAGAATAGATAATTTTTTTTTTTTAAAAAAAGAAAGAAAAATTAAAAATACTTCAAGCGAAAAATAGAAAGATATATTGTTCTTTTTCTTTATTTTTCTCGATTTATTTTTACGCGTAGAATGATTCCTTAATCGATAGTGCTAGGCGTCCGTTCTCATCGCATCACCGTTTTCCACGATTTAGAAGGAAACGACGACGCGTGGTCCACAGAAACGAATCGTATCGAAGGAAACGTTGGTGGTGCCACTTCTTAAATTTAGATATCGTAGAGAGGAGCAATCTATCGCTCTCTTTCTCCCGTCGCGGTAGACGATCGTCGAGAAACGGATATAATAGATTTTCTGCGTCGTTTCAACCGTCACCTGGCTGCGATAAATTTTTGCTCGTTTTTTCACCGGCTTCGAGACGAGTATTCACTTCGAGCGTTGGAATGAATGATTACGGAATTATGGAAAAGAAGAGCGCACGGTTTATCGAGTGAAAATTGCAAGATTTATCGAAGAGGATTTATCGAAGAGGGTCGAGAGAAGTTTTACGTAATGCATCATTTTTTGGACGGCCCCCTGATCGATAGCCACCGCTGTAGCGTGCGAAGTAGTTTGCAAAGGAGGGGGTTGGGCGTCTAATTGGACGAGGGTGTTCTCTTTCTTTTCCTCTTTGTTGATTAGATTTTTAAAATTTTCTAAACGACAAATTAATTTATTTTATTTCCTTCCATTAATCATTTTTATCTTACAATTTTTTTTTCCAATAGATAAAATAAAAAACGTACGTTAGTCAAGAAAATTATCCGTATATATAATTTATACCTTCGATGGATCGATGAAGAAATTAAATTGAAATTAAAAATTAAACTAACATTGTTGCAAATTATCTGCATTCGTTATCTACAAACTGTGTCACGAGGACAATTTCTATCTAAATTGAAGTAATTATTTTTTATGGAAATAGAATCTACAGTAATAGAATTCGTGGAATTTCTCGATTGTTATATATGATTTATTCGTATCCAACGAGTATCACAAAATTAAAAAAAAAAATACTATATTGACAAATTCTATTAGATGTATAATAAAGATATTGACGCTTATTCATTTCTATAACACGTTTTCACAAATAATGTGAAAAAGTGATAGAAAAATTACTCGATCTTGGTAATTTAAACAAAAGTTTAAAGAGGAAAAAGTGTGTTTTCGATTAAAATCGTGCCTCAAGTATAAATAAATGATCCTCCTCCGTTTGATATCCGTCATGTTTCCCATTAGCATTATGCAATCCAAGTGTTCTGATTACAAGTCGGGGGTCTTCCTTCTTCCGTCTTGCGAGATCCCACGAGACAAACGCGGTGTAAATGTGGACTTCTAAGAAAAAACCGGGGACTTCTATGAGAGGTCGAACATTCGACGCTCGTAATTCTTTCTCACCGAGGGTGAGTCAGAGACCATCGCCGTTCCCCCTCCCTATCTTACGAGAGCCGGTTTCCCGATTTTACTTTATCGTAAATTAGATACCCTTCGACGATAGATCGATACCCATGCGTTTCTTACGTATCTTTAATAATTAATTAACTGTAATTTTTAAGCTTCGTGTGTTAATTCGTGTCATTGAAAGTTATTTTTTCTCGTTAAATGGGATTCGAATAGGAAAGGGGATTTAAATGAAAAAAGTTGAAGAAATTTCGTGAA